AGCGTTCCAGAAAATCTCAACCCAAACTGGAAGAATAACACTTCATTTTCTGCTTGGGAACACTGCAACTTTCTGGACTCTCATATCAAGGTCAATAATTTTTAGGGTCTGAGCACCTTCTCCCATGTCTTTACTCTAACCCACACACAAATCCTTGAGCCTTGTCATCACATGGCCTGGTACCACAAACAATCCATTGTCAGCCACCAACAGTCCCCATTAGCAGCTATTCATTCTCCCAGGCTGATGTTGGTCCCTGGGTTCCATCTTTACCTATCATTTAGTCCTTCCCCCTCCAGCCACACCTTTCCCAGCACATAAAGCAAACTCTTCGCAGCTACAATCAGTTCTGAAGCATCACTAGACCTAAAATTTTAGTTACACTCTGTCTTTATTGGTGCTGCCAGAGTTTTTCCAGCAATTCCTTTTTTTTTTCCCCAAAAAAAAAAAAAAAAAAAAAAAACTTATACAACTCTATTTAGTTACTGAACACAGAGCTTCAGTGAATTTGCTGCCAGGGTTGCTACTGAATGCATATCAGCAACAAGCAACATACGCAATACACAGAGGCAGCTTTATTAGACAGATTTCATGGTAACAAAAAAAGATTTCAACAGAGGATAATGTCGTCAAGTTTTCTTCTCCAGGGGATATTAGTGAACCAGTTGGGTTTTAATGCCAATCCACCCAGTTGCATTGTCACCATGACTGAGGCCAGCTTCCTAATTCCAGTTCAACACTTCCTAATTCAATACTATACAAAGGTCGGTTTAGTTCAGTTGGCTGGATGATTGGTTTGTGAAACAGCGTGACGCTGACAGCATAGGTTTAATTCCTGCACCGCAAGGACTCTCCTTCTCAACCTCTCCCCTCGAAGGTGTGGTGGCCCTCAGATTATATCATCACCAGTTGTGTCTCTCTAATGGGTGAGCAGCCCTATGGACTGATAAGACTATGACAACTTGATTATACAAAATAGAAATCACATTCCTTGCAATCAGTGCTCTAGTAAAATAAACAGAATGCTGGAGAAACATACCAGATCTGGCAGAATCTGTAGCGAAAGAATCAGGGTTAACGTTTTGAGTCTGGAATGACGACTCTTTCATATGTTCACACTGGACTCAATGTTAACTATTTCTGTCCACAGATGCTCCCACACCCACTAACTTCTCCAGCATTCTCTATGTTTATTTCAGATTTCTATTATCTGAAGTATTTATTCCAGTAATATAACTATTGAAGTAACAAAAATACAAAGCATACTGAAGTTATTTTTGGTTTATGTTCTCAATGGCAGTTTGAAAACAAACACTTAGAAGTTTTAGAATCAGCCCTACCCTGTGGCCTTGTGTCGTAGATCAATGATAACATCCACTTCAATCTGGCAGCAGTTGAAAAGAACAAGAGTAACAGGTACTATACATAAACTGCAGAACAAAGAAAACAAAATCACAAAACTGTTAATAGATTCTTAGTGCCTGAACAAACTTCTAACGTAACACAAAGCTGATATACTAGAATTCTAAATATTTCTAAACTGACCTATCTTTGACAAAAAGGCCATAAAAGTCAAAAATATTTGTCTGAATGCAGGAAGTACACTAGCCACTTGATTTACCAATCACATGCAATTATAAAAACAGAGTCAATTATGGTATAACTCAATAACTCCAATATTTTCTTAACCTCCACTAACTTGCCTTTTATCAATTTCAGTCCTATGACCGAACTAATTATTTTGCTGCAATGTGTCTAAGTTTAGTTATAAATTTATATTTTAGAAATCATAAACTAGTTAAAAGGGAGAACAATTTATCAGTAAGGAGAATTAATCCAGATTCAAAAAGATTTTCAGCTAAATAGTAAATACCAATCTTTTTAAATCAGATTTTGCTAAATATATTGTTATGGACCAGACCAAACCTCCTTCAAATGTATCAACACAACAGCCTAGAACACAACTTCAGGCTTATTTAAAGGCAAGCATAAGGTACGATGTTGCAGATGTTACTCAGCTTTAAGCAAAACATTATTCTTATGCCCAGTTAAAATACAAAACAAAAAAAAAAAAAGAGAAGAATTGGTGTCACTTTAACTCGTGGAAAACTTAACAATAATAGATTATTTAACTAAACAGCAACTGTTCCAATATAGTAACATCCCATAAACACATCCTTGGCAAAAGGCAAGTTCTGTAAAATAGATTCTCTCTGTCAGAATGATGGGAGACAAAGAATTCTACCCTTTTACATGGCTGAGGGGGATGTAACAGGTTCCACAGTCAATTTCAAAAGCACAACTGAAACGTACATTAAAACCCTGGTTCTGAGGGAAGCCATCTCCACCTGTTGATGATGCTTCTATTGTTTTAACTTTAAAAAGTATCCAGGGCCTCACAAGCTGTTTGCTTTCTTGGACTGGAAGAGACAACTCTACACACCTCTGGCTCAAAACATCTCCAAAAACCAAAAAAAGGACAAAATACACCTCTCAAAACCATAATATCACCACAATATTATGATGAAAGGTGTCCAATTCATTATCACATGGAAAGTTTGTATTTTAAAAGTGGCAGAATTGGAATCAGACAAAATTCAATAGTGAGTCAAAGGTGCAAATATCCAGAAAGGGTAACTAAAAACTTCAAAGAGAAAGACTTTAAAAAAGGACTTAAAAAAGGAGGGTACAAAGTTAAGAAATTCCAGGCCATAAAACTATTACCAAATAGGTAAACAGAGGGCCCTAGGGAAGGTTAGGCCAGATTTGGAGCTCTGCAACATCTTAAAAAAAAATTCATTCATGAGATGTGAGAGTCGCTGGCCAGACTAGCACTTATTACCCATTCCTAATTGCTCAGAGGACAATTAAGAGTCACATTGCTGTGGGTCTGGAGTCATATGTAGGTCAGACGAGATAAAGGATGGCAGTTTCCTTCTTTGAAAGGCATAAGTGAACTTGATGGATTTTTCCTAACAGTCAATTTGACACTTAATTCCAGCCTTCTATAGAATTTGAATTCCATCTGCCAAGACAGAGGTTCTGGATTAATAGTCAACCAATAATACCACTAGGTAAAGTTTAAGAACATTAGCAATAGGGAGGGGAAGGACACAAAGTGATTTAAACATGACCACAAGTGCTGGATCATGTAAACTGACAAGCATGAGGGACAGCAGAGAAGTAAGGGTGACATTTCAGAATAACGCGCTTTGGTCTTCCTCATGTTTAAGTGGAAGAAACCGTAGGACATTTAGGACTGAATGTTGAAGTGGATATGATAGAACGGAGTGGAGGAGGCAGCAGATGTGTATACAGCAAATATTTATAGTGTCTTTAGCATGATAGAAACAGGGCCCAAAGCATTTCACAGGAATATTATGAAAAAGTTTGAAATTTGGTCACCCAACATGATGTTAGGTGACCAAAGGTTTAACTAAGGGACGAAAGTGCTTTAGAGGGGTAAAGACTGTAGTTTGCAACATGGTCACCAATGCTGGAGTAATTAAACTTGGAGTTTCACAAGAGGCCTGACCCAGAGAACCACAGAGAGGTCAGGAGTCACAGGGCTGAAGTAACTGGGCCTCAACTTTGATAATTAAGTTACCAAGAAACGGTTGTAAATGAGGAAGAGGTGGCAGCTAAGGACAGATACAAGGAGCACTCTATGGCTAACAATTGGGTATTGGAGGAGGTAGATGAAGAAGCTATTGCTGATACTGATCTAGCTACATCTGAAAAGGTAAGAGTAGAAGTAATCAAGGTCAAAGGAGGAGAGACACTGGAGGGGAAAAGGTCTAAGTGCCCATATGAAGAGGTACAAGTCAAGGAGGAGAAAGGCAGTGCATGATGTTCACAGGTATGCCACTGAAAACATTGATGTTTTAGAGCTGTGGCAGAAGTGGAAACCTAAAAGGCCAGCAGAGAATTGGAAAAACAGGAATGGGACAAGACAACATGCTCAGGAACTATGAAAAGCAACAGGAGATTGGAGGTGGGACTCCAGTTTGGCAAGGGTAGAGAAGAGGAAGACAAAGATCTTTGGAGGCCAAGGGCAGAAACTATTTGAAATATCAGCTACCATGGGTGTCAGGAAGAGAATTTGCATGGTCAGCAATTTACTCAGGTGAGTTTCATGGCAAGATAAAAACTTAGAGAGGAGGTACAAGACAGAGACCTGGACAAGTGGGAACCTGTAAGGAGGCTTGGTGGGAAAGGAGTGATTGCAGAAGCAACTGAACAGATGGTATCAAGGTCAGTGACAAAATATAGGCACATGAGATCCTGGCAATATGCGAGTGGAGGAAACAGGTCAGACAGGGTGAAAAAGAGGCTACTTGTTTGGAAACTAAGCTAGAAGTTAACACCCCCTCCTCCAAGATGATCCTGGCATAATGCAATTAAGGCCGTTGGAGAATAAAACCGAACAGTGCATAAAATAGGAAACCTTTACTCAAGAAACTAACAAAATGACATTTATATGCTGTATGGGTATGCTGTAGTGAGGAACAATCTTTCAATCTTACATTCACAATCTACCATGATAATCAGCCCAATAATTAATTCTTTCCCATCAAGCATATTTAAGCATGGTTAATTCCATGCCAGGACACCGCCAATTAGTCATGCTTAAAAAGCAAATTACAAACCTCTTTTGATGAAATGGATGGTCATAGTATTCAGGGTAATGCAGGCTGATCTTAATAAGATGGGAGAGCTGTTCCATGCTCGGTCTTGCAGGCAGCTGTGGCTGTTCAGGTCGCACAAATTTCAGCAGGGCCATTTCCTGTGCTTCCTGGAACATGCAAGACAGGGATCAAAATAAAATATGCAAACTTGGCAACTTTTATTTCTTCCCAAAACTGAACACGATAGGAATCATTACCCAAGGTGTGGAAAATTTCTGCAATTCACACAACGCCTTTGAATGCGTGGTTGCCGGAAGCAATTACAAAATCAGAGACCAGCTCCAGCACATGACCACATTCAGGCAGTGCATTCCAAATCCTAAGGCACATGGACTGCAGTGGTTCAAAGCAGCAGCAGCTCACCACCACCTTCTCAAGGGCTCTGCAGACAGACAATAAATCCTGGCCTAGCCAGTGACACACACATCCCATGAGTGAAAAAAAAACTCACTCACTACTTGAAGATGCTTCTTCTCAGGTCATCATTGTTGGCTGTCCTCCCAGTCCTCTGGCACTCCTCCAGTGGACAGAGAGGACTTGAAAATTCATGCCAAAGTCCCTGCAGTCTCCCTTCTTGCCTCCCACAGCAGCCTTGGATACATTGTATATCAGGCTGAGGATTTATCCATTATTAAGCCTGCTAAAACCACTAATACCTCCTCCCTCAAAGCTAATTTGTTCAAGTACATCACAGTTCTCCTCCCTTGTTCTCTATGAATAGAGATGCAAAGCATTCACTGAAAACCTCAGCTGCATCTTGGATTGTCATTTGGGTCCCTAATGGGCCCTACTCTTTCCCTATTTGTTCTTTTGCCTCTAATATACTAATAAAACACCTTTGGATTTTCCTCGAAGTTATCTGCAGTGCTTTTCTCCCCCCCCGGATTTCCCATTTTTCCTCTCCTAACTTTAAGTAATCTCCTGCATTTTCTATACTCCTCTGCACACCTGCTGTTTTGAGCCTTCAGCGCCTATAGCAAATTTCCTTTTTTTTTCCCCCCCCTCTCATCTCTCCAATCCTGTACATCTCTCCACATCCAGGGTCTTTTCATTTGTTGGTCCCACCCTTCATGAACACAATGACTTGATCAGAGTTCAAGAGATCTTGTTGCGACTACATGTGGAGGACTGTCTGCAGTTTTGATCTCCGCATCTATGGAAGTACGGACTTACCACAGAGGGAGTGCAGCAGAGGATCACTAGCTGATACCAGGGATGATAGGACTGTCCTATGAGGGTAGTTTGGTTTGACTAGGCCTGCATTCACTGGAGTTTAGAAGGATGAGAGGGGGATCTGATTGAAGTGTATAAAATTCCAGCAAGGCTGGCCAGACTAGATACAGGGAGGATGTTTCCCTTGGGTTGGGGAGTCTAGAATCGGGGATACAATCTCTGGATATGGAGTAGACCATTTAGGACAGAGTTGAGGAAACATTTCTTCACTCATAGCACGGTCAACCTGTGGAATTTTCTACTATAGGAGGCTGCGGAAGCTGGTCACCGAGTATATTCAAGAAAGAGATTAATCCATTTTTAAGAGATTAAAAGACATGATGGGCCATGGTGGGAAAGCAGAAATATGGCAAATAAGATAGATGATCAGCCATAACCATACTGAGTGGCACAGCAGGTTTGAAGGGCCAAATAGCCAACTCCTGCTCTCGGTTTTGTACGTTTCCCCAAGTTCTAATTGATAGAGGCATTGGCACGGAGAAAGCACCACAACCTGCTGACCCCTACAACTACACTAAGAGTTGCTCATTCAGAAAGTCAATGCAGACACAGTAAGCTAGACAGCCTCATTGCACGCTCTAACAATTCTGTGACTGAGAGAAAGTAACTTATATTACTATCAAAGTAAATTTCAAGAGGGAACAGATTCAAACTAAGTAAAGGGTAAATACAGGCCTGATATTATGATCTCATTCTTCACACAAAGAATTGTCAACATATGGCAGAAACTTCTTTATGGGAGATGAAACCACATGGAATTATTTTATATAAACAATCAGTTGTTACATGGGGATTGGAAAATATTTCTGGCTGGATAAAATCGATAGGCTTGCAAGGTGCTTTTCACTTTTAATATGTGCAGTCCAGAGCTCCAGGAAAATACCAACATAGGTCATATTTAGATTGAGAAGATCAATTTCAGAAGTGCAATAAAAGAGCAAAAGACAAACAAACAATCCCGCTATTGGACTGGACTGGACTGATCTAGGCTGCAAAAAGTCACAAAAGTGCAGCAGCAATGGCCGAGTCAGTAATGTGTTACCTGTACTTGAGGCAAAGAACTGGCTTCTTTTCCAATTGACTCCAGAGCAACATGAAGCTGGCCTTCCAATATAAGCTGCTTATTGTCCTCAACAACATATGCCTGTAACAAGAAAGGTAAACTAAATTTCCATGCCATAAGTATTTCATTGAAATTTCAGCCATTGTACAGTGAGAAACGGTTCCTTCTCTAAACTACACACTGTATTAACAGAATGTAGACCAGGTACAAGACATTATCAGTTCACATATGAAGTGTTGCTCCCTTACTCTGTTCATAATTAGTCTAATCGTGGTCGGTCAACTTTTCACTAAATTGCAAACGCATGTTCTGCACCTAGATGGCCATTAAAGCTAATCAAGTCAATCCCAAAATACTAACAAAGGTGGATGCCTCCCCAAGCCCCTCCCCAGCCCCCACGCCCTGACTGTAACGTACACAGCAAATTTGTCTATTTCCATACAGATTAAGAAAACTCATGAAATAAGGCACTAGCTACGAATAAACACAGGTCAATACTAACAATTCTACAGTTTTCCTCATTTCTGGAGGCATCTTTTGAGTTGGTTACTATTTTCAATCAGACAAGCATCCTTTGGCAGCAAGTTTCGACTAATGGGCTATCAGCTTCACCTCATGACACTCAGGTATCCCTTTCAGGCAAGAGCAAGCTGAGAACCTCGCTTGGTGGTTGAAACAGAAGATTCTGAAGGGGCTGAGAGGATGTTTTCCCTCACGGGAGGATCTGGGACCAGAAGGCAGAGTCTCAGAGTAAAGGCGCACCAATTTAAGGCTGAAGTGAGGAAGAATTTCTTCTCTCGGAGGGTTGTGGGTTTGGAGCTCCTTTCCACAGGAGAGCTGTGGGGGCAAAGTCCTTGCATACATTTAAGGCTGAGTTTGACAGATTTGGTGATGAGTTGGGGAATCAAGGGTTATGGGAAAAAGGCAGGAAAGTGGACGTGAAGAATGTTCACAGAATCCCTACAGTGGAAAAACAGGCCGTTTGGCCCAAGAAGTCCACACTAACTCTCTAAAGAGCATCCCACCTAGATTCACCCTTCGACTGGATCCCTGTAACCCTGCATTTTCCCATGGCTAATCCACCTAACCTGCACATCTTTGGACTGTGGGAGGAAACCAAAGCACCCAGAGGAAACCCGCACAGACATGGGGAGAATGTGCAAACTCCACACAGACGGTTACTCAAGGATAGTCTCAAACCTGGGTCCCGAGGTGTTGTGAGGCAGCAGTGCTAACCGCTGAGCCACCGATGTTGTCGGATTAGCTATGAACCTACTGAATGGCAGAGCAGGCTCAAGGGGCTGAATGGCCTATTTCTTGTGGTCTTATGGTTTCCCTGACAGACCACTACAAATGATAAGTTGCTTCCTTTGACCCCATGACAATTAGCACTCAAGTCATCCACCTCAGCAGAACTAGATTTACCCATCACAACCAGTAAGAACAGAATGACTACTTCTGCTAATCAGTTATTGAAATGTCACCCATATATTACCTTGCACCAAACCACTTTTGCCCATCATCCATTGCTATGTCAAAGATATCAATGGACTGGCCAGGTAAGCAGAGAAGTGACAAATGGAATTCGACACTCAGAAGTGAGGGGTGATGCATTTGCAGAGATCAAACAAGGCAAAAAAGTGTACAATTAATGGAAAAAAGTGCCGAGGGGTAGAGAAGTGAGGAACATTGAAGCCAGTCCATAGTTACCCGAAGTTGGGTAAGTTAGTCAATAAGTTAGTTTGGAAGGCATGTGAAATCCTTTACTTTATTAGTTGAGATACAGAGTACAAGAATCAGGTGGTTATACTAAAACTGTAGAAACCATTAATTAGGCCACAATATGAGCAGTATTTTTGCTCACCTCTTTCCAGAAAGGATGCAATTACATTTGGGAGGGGACTGTGCAGATTTACCAGGACGTTGCCAGGACAGGAAAATTACAGCTTGGGAGAAGGACTGGATAGGCGGAGGTTGTTTTCTTTGGAACAGAAAAGACTGAGGGGAGATTTGACAGATGTACAAAATAGTGAGGGGCCCCAGAGTGGACGGGAAGGACCAATTTACCTTAGAGAGAACAGAACAGTGACAATTTAAGAGTTAACATGACTGATAGAAAAGTTAGATGGTAGGGGGGGGGGAATAAAACATTTGAGCACCTGGAGGCTGGAACTTGCTACCTGAAAGCATACTAGGGGCAGAAACATTCAACTCATCAACAGGTGAATGAATTTTCACTTCATATGCTGGAACGTGCAGGGGCACCGACAAATTGCTGGAAAATGGGATTAGGCTGGGTGGGTGGCTTGGTCTTCAGCTGCCTCAGGCACACAGTCACCTCCTTCTGTGCTGTGAGCATAGAAAAGAGTGTACATTTGCTCCTGGTGCCCCAACCCTTTGAAATTATGGCATGTTTAAATCCCTGATAGCTTTACCACCCCTGTCTTGCTTGTGCGCTAAAATCCCTTCCCGAAACATCTCTTCACCTTTAAGGCCAGCTTTAAGGCTCAACTCAATGCCCAAGGTTTTTTAGACCCATTATTCTGCTCAGGGCAAGTAGTACTTTGAGAGGTTTCTCAATGTTATAAATGCCACAAAACAACAAGTAATCATCAAGAGTTACTGCACCTTGATGATTCAGTCAACTTGAGAAAATTTCTCATCAGATATTGAGCGGAAGAGGCAGAGAATAAAAAGTATGGTGAAGAAAAGCTCGATATCACACATTTTTAAAGACAATAGGAAGAAAGGAGACGGCCATTTGGCTCTCGAGGACAACTTGAGTCAATTCGTGATGTTAATACATTACTGGAGACTGCACTGAGCACAGACAAAATGGGCCTATTGGCCTCCTTCATTGCCACATATTTGCTGATTTCTATGGTTCTATTTGAGGGGTTTGCTGAAAATAAATGAACAAATAGCTCCACAAAATGCACACAACATACACTAGAAATTGCCAGAATCGAGCTGCATTGTCACCATCAAATTGGAGTACATTGTGGAATCTTAATACTTCATTATTTAAATAAACTATAACAGGGTAAGCAAGAACATTTTCAAATAACTGTTGATTTAGAAAGTGATTGAAACAAGTGTTTTCTATATACTCTTAAGTAAAAGAATCCTGTGCATTATTCAAAAATAAACCCTCCAATTGGCATGGCCTTTTAAAGTTCACATCATGAATGTTTAAAGTATTATACAAACCTTCCATAGTACTATTACATTGAGATCCACCTCACTACACATCTGCACCAATTTGGCAAGATCAGTAGTTTTTGGTCTCCCCGGGCCTGTAGTTGTCTGTGGTATCATCTTCCGAGATCGTGCAGCATAGCAACTTTGAAAGAAAAAGTCTGCACATGGAGTGGTTGCACTGATAATCTGTAAAACAAAGCAGAACCAAATCTCAACAATACAAATCTCGTGGCTTAGTTTGTATTTGCCAATTGCTCAACAACTACCTACAAGAAACAAAAGGCCTCCAGGACAAAATACTTTGAACTTTTTGCAAAAAACAGAAAGAAAGAAAGAAAAAAAAAATGGACGGAGCTCCAAGAATCAAACAGGTGGAAATCATGTTACTGTTTCTACATTCATTACTTAATAAAACTGCTTTTAAATTTCACTGAAATTTACAATTGACAGGACTGTTGAAAGTACGCACTAGACCCAGGTGTGAGAGAGAATGGGAACAGAAATGCAGAACTAATGTCAAAGAAGAGTCTTTAGAACTGTTCTAAAGTTGTATGCAATTCAAAACAACAATTTCTCTCTCCAAAGATGCTGCCAGACCAAAGTATTTTCAGCACTGTTTTTGTTTAGATTTTCATTGTCCACAACATTTGCTTGTATTTTAATGAGTTTTCACTCCCCTTTCAACAGTTTCACTCATTCTCTCAATCAGAACTTCTAGCGTAGAACTTGATCTTTTGAACTACAACATACTAATAATGCAGTTTTAGCAGAATGTAACTATTGTTATGCAAGGAAAAAAGAGTGTAAAGTATTCCAATTTCTACCCCAGATTAAATAAGCTTTAAAAATGTAACGCTGCTCACTGCTCCAAGAAAACAGTGAACAATAATGCAACAAGCAACTTAAGCAGTGTCCTGCCAACTCTTCTGGGTCACTATTTAAAAAAAAAATACAGGTATCAGAAAGAGTGCAAGAAAGATTTGCAAGGATGACACCACTTATGGGTGGCACATCAGTAATGTCCCTCAGGGTTCCAGGCTAATGTTCTGAGGAAACAAACAAATTGCTGGCAGCATCTGTGGAGAGAAAGAAAAGTTAACATTTCGGGTCCAGTGGCCCTTCTTCAGAACTGGGTTCAAATCCCATTCATGGTAGATGGTGGGATTTGAATTCAATATACAAAATTTGCATAAAAAGCTAGCCTAATGGCGATCATGTAACTGCTATTGATTGTCACAAATGCCTTTTCGTGAAGGAAATTTTCCATCATAGCCTGGCCTGGCCTATGTGTAAGTCCAGACCAACAACAAAGTGGTTGATTCTTAACTGTTCTCTGAAATGGCCCTACCAAGCCACTCAGTTCAAGGGCAATTAGGGATCAGCAATAAATGCCAGCCTTGCCAGTGATGCTACATCCTATGAAGAAATAAAAAACAACCTTCAGGATGCACCTATAAAAGGAAAGATGAGGGGATGGGTCTTTTTCTCTTCAAAAAAGGCTGGGGGGAGATTAAAAGTTTTGAAAATGATCCAAGATTTTGAGAGAGTGGGCAGACAATGCTCCCATTTTTGGAGAAGTGCAAAACCAGAGGCCATTAACAGAAGAAAGTATCAGAATCAGAGAACTGTTACAGTACAGGGGAGTGATGCAGCCCACCATGTCTGTAATGGCTCTCCAAAGACAATCACAACAATGCCATCTTCCTGCTTTTTCATGACCCTGCATATTGTTTTGCTCATTTCCTTTACTCTGAAAGCAACAAGAATGTGGAAGTCTCAACACAAAAAAACAGGATAAAACAGACAGTATAGATGCACTGAAAGAGAAACTAAGCAAGGGAGAAAGGAGCAGAGGGCTACAATGGAAGCTTGAGGAACAAAGCCAGGAGCAAATTCAAGAGGAACAGAAATCCCAGTACTGACGGAGTCAAATGGCCTGAGGCTACACAACCTACAAAATCCCCAAGTCCAATAGATCCATGAGAATTAGCTGAATCGCCCACTACAACATACCATGCATTCTACTCGCAAGAGCTATGGAAAGTGAGTGTTCACAGCAATTACTCTAATAAGTTAACTTATTAGCAGCAAGAGACAGCACTTCCTCTTTACTTCAAAGAAAAAGAGCTTACCTTTCCTACCATTACAAACTATGAAATGATTCAGTCATGTTGGAACTCCCTAGAACACCAGGCAATCAATTTTCAGCTTTTGCCTCTGAACAACCAACACTTGGAAGCACAATCTGGGAAACATGGAAGGATCTTCCAGGGTGGTTACAAAGGCATTTAGTATGTTTGCCTTCATTGATCACCATTGAGTATAGGAGTTGAGACATAATATTGATGTTGTACAGGATGTTGGTGAGGCCACTTTTGGATTACTGTGTACAGTTCTCGTCGCCCTGCTATAGGAATTGAAGAAAGTTCAGAAAAGATTTACCAGGATGTTGCTGGGACTGGAGGATTTCAGTTATAAAGGATAGGCTGGAACTTTTCCCCCCACTGGAGCATGGGAGGTTGAGGGGTGACCTTATTGAAGTTTATAAAATCATGAGGGGTATACATACAGTGAATAGCAAAGGTCTTTTCTCCACAATGCAGGAGTTCAAAACTAGGGGAAATATTTTAAGGTGAGAGGAGAAAGATTAAAAATGGACCCAAGCAGCAACTTATTCACACAGAGGGTGGTTCATGTGTGGAATGAAGTGCCAGAGGAACTGGGAGATGCAGGAGTAGTTACAACATTTAAGAAACATTTTAACAGATACATGGATAGAGTGATTTAGAGGAATACAGACCAAATGCAGGCAAGCGGGGCTAGTTTAGTTTGGGAAACTTGGTTGGCATGGATGAGTTGGATGGAACGGTCTGTTTCTGACCTGTAGGAGTCTATGACCTCTACCAAGACATGCAGAAAACAAATTTGTAGGATGATTGGGAAATTACAAACATAACTGTAAAATTCACTGGTTTGCCAAGGTCTTCCAACGGAACAAAATCTGCCACATTACAGCCCCCACACCAGCTGTGTTAACAGCAAACAGCAAGGAAGCTGGTGCATTCCAAGTCATCCCAAATACATTTGCAGGATTGCGTCAAAACTGACCCAGCTTAAAAACTCTGCAGAGATTATCAGCAATGAGCTGCAAGACCCAGCTAGAAACTTGAGCTACCAATGTCAAAGTCAAAAAGAATAACAAAATCCTGCTGCAGGTTAAAGATCACAGCACATTACATAGCTGATTCTCATGGAGGCACGTTATCTAGTTATAACTTTTCTCGTATATAAAACATGGCTTCAACTGCTTCCATCACCTTTTCGGACGAATTGCCAATGTTAAATACTTAAAAGAATAAAATCCCCCACATGTTCCAGCAATCACAAGCATAGCAGAAAATTAGTTGCAAGAAATGCACTGAAATCGAGTGGTAAGGAATTAAGCTTACTCACTTGTTCGCTCCCCAGAACGATATCTGCAAATATATACTTTCCTTCTATACATGAGGTAGCTAAGAAAGCAAAAAAGTGATTCATCTTTATTGTTGTCACCATTCTAAATGCTAAACTATTAGAAAGAAATTAAAGACTGCAAACATCCAGATTTTATGACCTCACCTTCTGAATTCTGATACCTTATTGCTCGAAAGCAGAGTTTTGCCCTCTCCCGACTGCCAAGTTTTGCATCTGAAATATCAAAATGCAAACAGAGAAAAGAGTTATACAAGGAGCGGAAAAAGAATTGTTAAAGCACCGAAAAAAAGCCAGCCATTCAGCCCATCAGGTCAACAAAGACTCTAAGCAGATACAGAAATAACAAGGTGTAGAGCTGGATGAACACAGCAGGCCAAGCAGCATCAGAGGAGCAGGAAGGCTGACGTCTCAGGTCTGCACCCTTCTTCAGAAATGGGGGAGGGGAAGGGGATTCTGAAATAAATTAGGGAGAGAGGGGGAGGCAGATAGAAGATGGATAAAAAGGAGAAGACAGGTGGAGAGGAGACAGACTGGTCAAAGAGGTGGGGATGGAGCTAGTAAAGGTGAGTGTAGGTGGGGAGGTAGGGAGGAGATAGGTCAGTCCAGGGAGGACAGACAGGTCAAGGGGGTGGGATGAGGCTAGTAGGTAGGAGATGGGGCTGGGGCTGGGGCTTGAGGTGGGAAGGACAGGTTAGGGAGGCGGGGACAAGCTGGGCTGGTTTTGGGATGCGGTGGCGGCGAAGGTGGAAGAAGAGAGAGAGGGGAAATTTTGAAGCTTGTGAAGTCCACATTGATACCATTGGGCTGCAGGGTTCCCAAGCAAAAATGAGGTGCTGTTCCTGCAACCTTCGGGTAGCATCGCTGTAGCACTGCAGGAGGCCCAGGATGGACATGTCGTCTGAGGAATGGGAGGGGGAGTTGAAATGATTCGCGACTGGGAAGTGCAGTTGTTTAGTGCGAACCGAGCGTAGGTGTTCTGCAAAGCGGGTCCCAAGCCTCCGCTTGGTTTCCCCGATGTAGAGGAGGCCACAATGGGAACAGCGGATACAGTATACCACATTGGCAGATGTGCAGGTGAACATCTGCTTGACGTGGAAAGTCTTCTTGGGGCCTGGGATGGGGCTGAGGGAGGTGGTGTAGGGGCAGGTGTAGCACTTCCTGCGGTTGCAGAGAAAAGTGCCGGGTGTGGTGGGGCTGGAGGGGAGTGTGGAGCGGACAAGGGAGTCCCAGAGAGTGTGGTCCCTCCGGAAAGCAGATAAGGGTGGGGAGGGAAAGAAAGATGTCTTTGGTGGTGGGGTCGGATTGCAGATGACGGAAGTATTGGAGGATGATGGTTGGATCCGGAGGTTGGTGGGGTGGTACGTGAGGATGAGGGGGACTGTTTTGGTTGTTATTGCAGGGAAGGTGTGTAAGGGATGAGTTGCGGGAAATGCGGGAGACACGGTAGAGGGCATTCTTAACCCCGGGGGTGGGGTGGGGTTGCCGTCCTTGAAAAACAAGGACATCTGAGATGTTCGGGAGTGGAATGCCTCATCCTGGGAGCAGATGTGGCTGAGGCGAAAGAATTGGCAAAAGGGGATGGCATTTTTGCAGGAAGGTGGATGTGAGGTGGTGTATTCTAGGTAGCTGTGGGAGTTGGTGGGCTTGAAATGGATATCGGTTTCCAGGTGGTCCTCTTCCTACCACCTCCTTGATCGTGACCCCACCCCCGACCACCAAAACATCATCTCCCAAATCATCCACAACCTCATCACCTCAGGTGACCTCCCACCCACAGCCTCCAACCTCATCGTTCTCCAACCCCACACCACCCGCTTCTATCTCCTTCTCAAATTCCAAACCTGACTGCCCTGGTCGACCCATTGTCTCCACTTGCTCCTGCCCTACCGAACTTATCTCCACCTAGCTCAACTCCATTTTCTCCCACCTTGTTATCTCAGATTCTCTACCATCTGCAGTTCCTACTATCTCAGCAGATACAGTTTACCTTGTGCCATTGCCCTGCCTTCTCCCTGTAACACACACATCTTTGCTTTTCAAATAACAAACCAATTTCCAAATGTATTACATCTATTGTTTTCCTTCATCTACCTTGATTGTTACTGCCTCAAAAGAATGCTATTAAATTTGTCAGGTATGACTGCCTCTTCGTGAAGCCATGCTGACTCAGCTTGATCATATTCTATATTTCTAAACATTCTACTGCATAAAAGACTAATATTTTCCCAACAGACATTCAGTTAATTGGCCTTTGGTTATCTGTTTTGTTGTCTCCCTCTCTTTTCAATAAAGGATGTTATGCTGGCAGTTTTTCAATCCTCTCAGACCTTTCCAGAATATAAAAATTCTTGGAAGATTACTACCAGTATATTCACTACCTTTGGAGCCACTTCAAGTTTTTTTTTTCCCCCTTTATTCATTCACGGGATGAGGACGTCGTTGGCTAGGCAGCATTTACTGCCCATCCCTAATTGCCCAGAGGGCAGTTGACAGTCAAACACATTGCTGTGGGTCTGGAGTCACATGTAGGCCTGACCAGGCAAGGATGGCAGCTCCTTCCCTAAAAGGACATGAGTGAACCAGATGGATCTTTACTGACAACGGATTCATGGTCATCATCAGATCTTTAATTCCAGATATTTTATTGAATTCAAATTCCACCACCTATCGTGGCAGGGTTTGAACTTGGGTCCCCAGAATGTTATCTGGGTCCCTGGATCTCTGGATTAACAGTCCAGCAATAATATCACTAGGCCATTGTGTCCCCTCTCATATCAGGATGCATCCCATCGATGCAAGGAAATTATCAGTCTTTAGCCCCTTTTCATGGTCAGCATTACTGAAACTAGTTTTATAACCCAGTTAGAATTTAAATTTGATTAATAGTATCAGCTGCTGTGTGGGATTTAAAACCACGTCCACAGAACTGGTTTAGTACTCCAGTGAAACAGTGTCTCCCCAAACTGCACTGCACCTCCAACGGTGTATCAGAGCACTTTCCTCTATTAAAGGCACCATATGAATGAAATTGACACTGGATATATTCAACTTCTCAATCTTAATAAAAACATTCTGAAGAATTAAAATGGTGTTTCTTAACAGTATAGTTAAATGATAATAGTCCACGATTCTACATTTACAAAATTGCCCAGTGAAACATGGCACATGCTCTCCGATTTGATCGATCTTTACACACTTTCTGCAATATACATGGGATATTTTAACTTGAGCATGTACAGGGAGATCAGATATTTGCATTTATTACTGTCACAAGATTGCAAACAAGAAAAATGAAAAAGAGCAAGCCAACCTTTATCTTCAGCGGGATTTATGCATTTTTGCAACTTCCAATGTTCACTACCACTGGACACCTGGATTATGTGGAATTCCCTCACACCTGCTTCACTCTGAAAAATTAAGGCTTTTGTTAATACACCACTCATACCATAAGAACAACAAAATGCTAGTTGCTCTGAAAACATTTAAGATCGTTGCTTTCAAAAGCAACAAGGGAATATTTTTGTTGTTCATGATTCGAATTGCCCAGAAGATTTGTGAACCTCCCCTTAGAACAGTCTGCCAAACTGGTTAGTGCAAAATTGCTGGCACTGTTTTTATTTGGTTACCTGCATTTATGGGCAATGCCACTGCTAGGTGGAGCAATGAAAGCGCAGAAAAAAAAAAAACGCACTTTTGCTGAGAACTCACTGATTGTAGAAAAATTGCTGATTGATGTTACTGCATGTTCATTCTGTGTGCATGTGTAGGGAGAGTGAGCGTACATGCATGTGCGCCAGATGATGGTTATGAACACCTTGGGAGACTCAGATCTATATAAAATTGCTATATTTTGTGAACAGCAAATTAGATCTTTACCCAAACGAGTAATTTTGATTTCATGGCGGATGGTATCACAATTTGCCAAAACAAATACCACATGAAATCATTTACCCACTCAATAACGATTTGTGTTTGTAGCTCATCCAATTTCTGCAAATTATTCTTCAAAACCACTGAAATTGTGAAACCTTAGAAGACCCAGCGCAAACACCTGTGTAACAACAGTTGCATTAGTGTACACGTGTGCATGTGCAGATGGATCACGGGGGAAAATTAATGGCAGCATTCTATTACCTGCACTGGGGTCACACTCACTTTACATTTGCAGATTTAAGTATTTGCCCATTTCCTTCACTAAGCAGCCACCAGCCAGCTAAAATTTTGATGGTGTAACCACATCTGAAGGGGAGCACTAAGGCCCCATACTTCTATGTTTCATTCCCCTTGCAATAAACAACGTTAGAGCTGATACAGTCTTTCTTCATATGAAAAGCAGAGTGTTGCAGCAAAGAAGAATTTGGAGGGCCTGATGCATGTATCAGAAAAAGTTAGCATACAAGTTCAGCAGGTAATAGGGAATGCAAATGGTATGCTGGCCTTTGTTTCAAAGGGAAGAGAATATAAAATAGGTAGGTCCTGCTAAAACTAGATAAGGCACTCATCTGAGACAACAAGGTGCAGGGCTGGATGAACACAGCAGGCCAAGCAGCATCATAGGAGCAGAGAGGCTAACGTTTCGGGCCCAGACCCTTCATCAGAAAAGAGGGAGGGGAAGGGGGCTCTGAAATAAATAGGGAGTTGTCTCAGATTCACCAGCATCTGCAGTTCCTACTATCTCTAAGGCACTCATCTGGTGCCTTAACAGGTGGAAAACTGAACAGTTTTGGGTGCCTTACTTCACGCAAGACATACTGCCAATGGAGACTGTCCAGAGTAGGCTCATTGGGTTGATTCTGGGTATGGTTGGATACTCTTAAAAAAGGACAGGTAGAGTAGGTTAGGCCTGTACTCACTGGAGTTTAAAAGCAGAGGAGACCTTATAGAAACACACAAGATTCTTAGGGGGCCTGACAGAGCAAATATAGAGAGGTCATTTCCCCTTGTGGGAGAGTCTAAGACCAGAAGGCAAATCTCAGAGTAAGGAGTCATTTATTTACAACAAGAGATGAGAAGAAGTCTATTCTCAGAGGGTAGTGAACCTGTAGAATACTTTTCCCCTGAAGGTTGCTGAGGCTGGGTTGAGACAAATTTTTAGTTAGTAAGAGAATCAAGAGTTATAGGGAAAAGGCAGGAAAGTAGAGTTGAGGAGACAGCTGTTATTGCATCAAATAATGCTGCAGACTCAACAGACTATGTGTCCTACTTCAGCTCCTAAATCTGATGGCCTTCCCAATAACCTGCTGTACCTGCGTACTAACACGTTGTGATTCATGTACCAGGGTAACCAGATCCCTCAGAATTCTCCAATCTCTATCCAGTTAAATGAATACTTGTCTATCCTTCCTCCCAAAACAGACAAGTTCATATTTACCCATCGGACTGTCCAACTGCCAAATATTTGTCAACTCACTTAACCTGGTGTTAACTTACCAATTGAGCATTCTTTAACTCTAGCCAATCATTTACTGTTCCTTTCTCCTGCATATATGTAGTAATCTTCCCCTAAATGCAGCAATTTTTCAGGGTTTTCTTCATTACTGCAGTCAGTGAGTAAATTTAAAATTCTAAAACCATTAATACTTTTTTTGGCAGAACAAGAATATTGTAATTCACAATTGCTGGCTTAAATGATTCAAAATGAAGTTTACTAGAATTTCCAATGAAATTATCATTTAGGAGTACACAATTTTTTCCCCCACATACATAAAACAACAGTTCGTGCTATGGGTGGTAGTTCATCCTCTATGTAGCATTAGTTTACTTTGTTTTTGTTTGGGAATATTCCTGTGTCCTGTTTTGTGACAAAAGTGTTGCAAGAGAGAGGATAGGTCATTCAACATTTCAGTATAAGTAACTTACTGTATTAATATTTGCTACATCCAAAAACACCAACAGATTATCACTGTCACTCTTCCCTTCAGCCTCCAGGACATTACTTCTACATGCTGTCGCTTTCACACTTAGAGAACGGCTGGTGCATATTATCGCTGTGTGTCTTAGTACTCGGTGACTGTTAAGAGATTTTTTTAAAATTAGTGGACTTGCAGTTGAAAACTGCACTGTAGAACAGTACAAAAAAAAACAAACATTGTACAGTCTTAGAATACTCCTAAGCACATGGAGCTACATTCAATGTTGATACTGACACATGCCATCTTGGTGTTTATGCTGTATTCATCTCAGACTATCAGCATATAGTGGTGAGGCTGCAACTGGAGCACTGTATACAGTATTGACACTAAAGGCACGCTATACTAGCATTGGAGACAGTTCAGAAGGATTTCACCAGGCTGATTCCTGGGATGAAGGAGCTGACTTATCAAAAAGTGAACAGGTTAGGACAGAATTCATTACAAGTTAAAATAAAGGGGTGAACTTTTGAAACAAACAAACAGAGGGGTTTCAACAGGGTGGATGCTCTCACTAGTAGGGGAATCTTGAAGTAGGAGACATATTTAAAGAATAAGCGAATAATCATTTAAAACCAAGATGCAAAAGGAAATCCTGAGAATTATGGAGGTTATATCATGGAAAGTATTTTAAGGGAAGGTAAACAGATTTTTGAAATATGGAGTTGAGACCTGGGTCAGATCTGGCATGATTTTATGGAATGATGGGGCAGGCTTGAGGGGCTGAATGGCCTAATCCTACTCCTATTTCTTATGTTCTTTGAACTGCTTCCAATGCAAGTATAATCAATCCTTGAATAAAGACCAAAACTGCCTGTAGTATTCCCAGTGCAGTCTCAACGCCCTGTACACTTGTAGCAAGTCACTGGCTGTACCTGCACACTAACTCTGCATGAATCACAAAAGGATATGCTGATCCCTCCATACTGCAGTGATTGCAATTCTTCGATTCCCCTGACATATGTCAATAAGCACATTTTATCTGCTTCATCTCAATCTCTATCGTTACCCAGGCAGCTTTTGATTTATGTGCCCAACCTTTCCCCTTCATGGAGATGTACTTCGACAGTACTCAAACTCTCTTATTTAAACAATGTATTTTTCTGCTAATCTTCAATTGCAATTATCTGGGCCAGATCCATTATGACTTCATTTAAGTTGGCTTTCCTCTGGTTTATTTCCATTCTGGGTTGCTTCTGGTCTGCTTCCACAGCCAAACTAATGCTTATGACAATTACCATTATCCTCCAAATATTCTCCTACTAACACTTGATCCACCTCATTCTCAAGATGATGATGATCCAGCAATTTCTCTTTTCAATTTACAGTTTCCAGTTTAAAATGAATAAACTGGGTGTTTCTGTGGGCTAGACAAAATCAATCACATACAGGATTCCCTTCAAAATACATCTAAGCTGTATCTCTCCCCAATTACAGCTGGCTCCAAAATTTTATTTCAAACCCTACATTGCAATTCAATGTTCTACTGTTTGCAGACGGTGATTGTCAAAAAGTGTGTTCCAGAGCAAGGTATTAGAGTGCAAGCTGTTTCATTTTCTTTCGATCTTGAAAGGGATACTTTGGTTAGTAAAGCTAAAAACCTGTCAAACTATTGCATCACTACTATCCTAACATGAAAATATCTGATCATAGAACCTGCAAATGTCTTGGATGAAATAAACTGGCAAATCAGTTCACACTCAATGACCAGGCTAAATGCACAAGTCACTGAAGAGATACAAAGGTGTCTCTACATGAATTTTATTTCAATCTTCAATTTACTTTCAAGTTTCTTGGGCAAGTCACATATTTTCAGTATCGCATGGCTGAAAAATAATTGCCCTAGTAGGTTACTTACAAAAGTGACAAATCTATGGACTGCTGACATCTAGCAGCTTCCAGTAGATTCTAGTAATCCCAGCAAGAGCAGATTTTAATTGTCAAGTAGCCCAGTGTCACATCCGTTTTGAACACTTCTAAACTCCACACAAGTTTACCCAGTGCATTAACAATTTGTACACTTAATAAAAAAGGCCACAAAAGACAAGTCAAAAGTGATTTCAGCTTTGAATAATCCCCACCCCACCACTCCCTTGGATGTGGGTGGACTATAGTTGGCCCAGGACCTGTTAATTAAATGCAAGAAAAAATATCACCGAATCTTGCTGGCTGACTGGCACTCAGTGCATGTCATTTGCCAGTGAATACGTTCAATAAAGAACAGGATCCTGATCAGGTTTGGTTTCTCGCTCATAATAAATTGCCTCAACATGCCTAGACGCGCACACAAAAGGATCAATAGGAAGCAAACAAGCACGTGTGGAATCATTCCCAAAAGTCTGAAGAACTGATTACAGGCAGGGTACTGAAATAAAACAGGTTCATAAAATTTCACACACTCCATCTAAAAACAGTGACCTTTTAACTCCATTCCTCAGATTGGAAAGTGAAATGTGACATTACAGACCACCAAATCAAACCAGCTATCACTTTTAAAAAACCTACCTCAGCTTAGAGTGTGGTTTTGTACTTTCATAATAAAATAAAAAGTTTATTTCATGAACTCCCTCTTCATCTGGTCCACGCAGCCACATAGGGAGCTGCACAGAAGCCCCAGGCAACAACACAGAGTCAGGAAGTGGCACATCTGTTACCCAAAGTGGATTTCCTGTGTCCATTCCGAAGTCCGTAGGGGAAACAGATGTTGTCACAGCAGAAGACATGCACGCGCAGTCGATCACAACTGTCTTGTAGGCGCTACAGTTTTCAGAAGCTGTCGGACTTAGTGGCGTCAATGCTGCAGTTTTGCTCCCAAAGGAAAAGAAATCTGGATCTTTGCACACAACTTTCAATCCAGTAAGAGGGCACTTGCTTACATTCACAAATTCCACATAAGTTTTTCTTATTTCTCCACAAAGTAGTCCCGTAGGAAAGTTTATGAAGAACACCTGCACACAGAAAACATCCTGTCAATATATAGCTAATCTTAAAGTTGAATCTGATGTTCATGTAATACATCATTTATCCATTCGAGTCATGAAAATAAAGAACGGCCCCTATGAAAGTTGCAATGTTTCATTTCGATCAAAGGGCTCAAAAATCACAATGGGACCAGCATGGAGTGCAGCAGTTTAGCCTTTTATTTCAGGACTGGGTACTCAAAAGGAATCTTCTCCCCATACCATGCATATTCTTCTTTTGCAGATAATCTAATTCCCTTGACAAAATCTTGTTTGAACCTGCTTCCAACACATTCTGGCAGTGCACTCCAAATCCTAATCACTCACTGCATTCAATTTTTCCTCATGTCTCCATTGCTGCTTTTGCCAGCTATCATAACTCTACGCCCTCTTGTTGATCCTTTCCTTTGACTGGTGGGAACAGTTTCTCATTAGCTACTCTACCCAGACAGGAAGTGTCCTGTCCAGGTAGTTTTGAGTACTTCCATCAAATCCCCTCTCTACTTTCTCTTATCCACAAAGGTAACAACCCCAATTTTTCCAGTCTAGTTACATAACTGAAGTTCCTCATCATTGGAACTCCTCCTTCAAATGCCTTTGGATTTTTCTAAAACAATGGCACTCAGAACTGGTCACAGAACTCCAGTTGAGGCCAAACTGGAGTTTTATGCAAGTTCAAGACAAGTCCTTGGTTTCGTAACTCATTTCATTAATATAGGATTTAACTGTTCAGGGCACTGCTGTGACAAATGAGCTAGCAAAAAGCTGTCAGCTAATGAGTTTAAACAGGTGCAGAGTGCAGAATGTTGATGCTGTGTTGAGACTTAAAGTACAGGCCAATAGCAACAGTCCTTCTCAGATTATCCTGGAAGGGCAAAGTATCTGAAAGGTTTGAGCAACAGGTGAGGCTCACTGTTTCATCCAGCTGCTATGCAGTAACACAAGTGGCATTGCCGCTAACAGAATGCAGCCAACAAGCCAAAAAGATGGTCTGCCTCTCAAGTGAGTAATGTGGTATGTCAATGACAATGCTGGTATGATCCAGGTGTGTAAGGTTTCACAGCCCAAAGAATGGCAGCATGCATCAAACAGCTTTTACTTTAAGTGTTCACAACAAGAGCCTGACCACAGCCAGCCTGCGCTGCAAAATTCAACAATGCATAACATTAGATGAAATTCTGCAACTGGACCATATTTGATGGATAACCCCGAATGTGCAAAGAATTACACCGTGAACCTTACAATCCTTTTAGTTTAAGGTTCACAGTAGAATGCAGTTGGCAATTTTCTGCCAACTTGCATGTACCAGAAGCTCCATATATTAGTACATAGGACTCTATTCTTTGCTATCACAAAGACCACTGCAATTATTTCAACTCGACAAAACCAGTGATAGCCATTTACTGCTTCATTTCTTGGGGAAATGTCCTAACTAAACAGACTGAACCTGCCCACTTAAAAATTTAAACAAAGCCTACGATACCAATCCCAACCTTTAATGATTTATGCACATAGACATCCATCACATCCTGTACCCTTTATTTTATATCATCCCTTCAGAATTCTGCAAACAAAATTAATCACTTTACACCTATCTGCATAGAATTTCATCTGCCATTTCTTCAATGATTCCAACAACTTAAATCCTTTTGATCCTCAACACTACCCCCCCATGGTTCACAATTGCTTTGAAGTTTTGTATCACTAAAATTTTGAAATTGTTCCACGAACACCGAAGTCTAGATCATTACACAGATCAGGAAGAGCAGGGATTACAATACAGATGCCTGGGGGACTCCATAAACTTCCCTCCAATCTGGAGGAACAGCTGTAAATGCCAACAGTTTCCTACTGGTCATCCAATTCCGAATTCATATTCTGTCCCTTTTATTCTATGAGCAATAGCCTTGCTCACAAGTCTGTTGTGCAATAATTCAAACATCTTTATACTGACAGGAATATTGTTCTCAATTTGAATGTTTAAGACTGAACTTCATTATGTTAGGCCTTCGAATTTTCCACAACTTAAAAATGGCTTGTCAAATTTTATCAGTTCGTAATTTGTGTCGTTGCAAGTTCGAATGCAATTCTTTGCTGAAATTCTGTTCTTATGGCTTTGCTGTAACACACTGGAATACGCACAAGAAATAAATCACATCTACTGAGATGTCTTTTAAATATTAAGATAGTAACAAAATACAGTAACAGAAGGCTAATTTCAGAGACAATAAAATATCCACATGACAAACTGATCAGAATTATTGAGCCAGAGAAATGAAGGACACAGCAAAAATTGGCTCCCATTTGACTGTTAGAATTTCATCCTTCTATTGTTCCCAGTACAGATATTCAAAATTATTGCTCTTCAATTTTCTAGTAATACAAGTTACTTTTTTCTGAAGTTGAATGATTGTTACTGAAGGCTTATGAATCTGTATTGCTTTTATGATTCATTCATGGGACGTAGATGTTGCGGGCTGGGCCAGCTTTTATTGTCTATCCCCAATGGTACAGAGGGCAGTTGGGAGCAAAGAACATTTCTGTGGGTCTAGAGTCATATGTAGGCCAGACCAGCAAGGATAGATTTCTTTGAGAGAACAAGACATGGGTTTTTACAACAATCAACATGGTGTGTTACATGATGACCATTCAGCTCATTCTTTTTTTAATTCAAGTTTTATAGATTTTAAATTTCAAATTACAATGGCATTGCCAGAATCTTCAATAATTCAGACTTAACTATTTCACTGCTCATCGTTCTAAAGTGGCCTCCGACAGGCTTCTTCCAGATTTACTGCAACACTTGACAATGCAGAGAAATCAAAAAACAGTAAACAGTTTTACATTTATTCTTTATTCATTCGCAGGATAAGAGCACTGCTGGCTAGGCAGCATTTATTGCCCATCCCTAATTATCACAGGGTAGCTAAGCATCAACCACATTGCTGTGGGTCTGGAGTCACACGTAGGCCAGACCAGGTAAGGATGGCAGTTTCCTTCCCTAAAGGAAATTAGTGAACCAGATGGGTATTTCCCGACAACCGACAATCGACAATAGATTCATGGTCATCGTTAGACTCTTACCTCCAGATATTTATTGAATTCAAATTCCACCATCTGCCATGGCGGGATTTGAACCTAGGTCCCCAGAACATTATCTGGATCTCTGGATTAACAATCCAGCAATACCACTAGGTCATTCCCTTTACTGGGTGTGCTTAAGCTTCCAAAGTTCACAGTCACATGAACTTCAGAAGTGTAAACTTACATCTTAGAATTGTCCATTTTTCTTTCACTTGCTGCACCAGAAGTGGGCAGATCACCAAGAACTCATCACAAAGCTGCAAACTTTGCTACAAATACTGACCAGGGAGGCTTGAAAAGTAGCTCCTAAAATGCTGCCCCACCGCTACTTTTTTACTAGGCTATCAACCAGTACCGTGACCTGCTGAAACATTCCTCAAACTATACTTTTTTCTATGAAGAACATCTGCACTGAACAGATGTTAATTTTTATTTCATCATCTAACCAGAGTCCAATTACTAGAAAGTGTGGAGGACTAATGCTTGGTTTCTAGAGTGGTGGGGCTAATTCGTGTCACAACGGATATTACCTCCAACAAAGGCATTGCTTCTGTGATGATGGGATCTAGCCGTCGATCTGATCCATACTTAACAGATGTTTTCTCCTCTTTAGTGTTATTGAGCCTAGGTCCCTGGATTTCCAAATCTTGCCGTCCTCTTACCGATAATCCATGAGGTGCCTTGCCTAAACCAAAGGGAAACGGATGCTTGAGCAAAACTATGATGTCATAGAACATCAGAACCACTACAGTACAAGTCAGAGGCCATTTGGCCCCTCAAGTCTGCAGTGACCTTCCAAAGAGCATCCCACCCAGACCCATAGCCTGCATTCAATGTAATCATGGTTTATCATCCAACTCAGTAACCCATTCCAATTTTTATCCATTTCCTTTGATCCCTTTAACCCAAAAAGTGTTATATTCAACTCCTCCTTGAAATCAATGGTTTTCTGTGGTAGCAAATTCCACAGGCTCACCAGATTCTGGATAACACATTAAGCTACTGAATAAGGGCCCATGGTGTTGGAGGTAGTATATTAGCATGGGAAGAGGATTGGCTAACTAAGAGGGGGTTTGTGATATGGAGGCATTTTGGGGATGGTGACCTGTAATTAGCAGGATTAATTAAGGGCCACAATTATTTATAATTCACTTGGAGGAGGAAATCGAATGTGCCAAAAAAGGCAGGTAGTGAAAACGACGAAGTTGCAGACAGTATAGACAGGTTAAGCAAGTGGGCAAAAGCTTGGCAGATCATCAATTTGAATCCATAATAGATCATTTGCTCAATTTCAACTTTGAATTTGAAGAATGAACTACAATATATTCTCTCAGTTAATGCTGAGAAGAATTACAAGACTTAAGATGAACAGCTCAAACAAATTATGAAGTGGCCTTCGACTAACAGTCAGTTGGAATAAATTTTGGTGTCTAACATAGGAAGTCAAATTTAATGTTTTCAGATTTGGCATGTAAGGAGTAGACAAATTATTCTTGTCCAGCACATTCACCAAAACTAGTCCAGTAGCTGCTCCACCACCACAACTAACCTTCTGTCCAGCTTAGCCCATGGAAGTATTCTAGTGGATCTGAAGGGCTGGACTGATGGAGGCTGTGAGGAGCCTGCTGTTTGCTTCCAGACTTTCCCAGGCGGAGGTTGCTGGCATTGAGGTAACTGCCTGCGTAAACAGATCAGGGAAAAAGTGACAGGAGCTAAATCAACAATCTTCACACACGTAAAATAACAGGAAGTGCTTAAAATATGCAATAGATCAGCCAACAATCGGTGGCGAGAGAAAATGTTTCGTGAAATAAAAGCAGGAATAGGCCATTTAGTCCTTCTGCCATTCAATACAATCACGGCTGACCTACTAACAACTCCATCTTCCTATACGAAGCACAAATGCATAGTATCTCTTAAGTAAAAAACTGTCAATTGCAGCTTGACTATATTTAATGACTGAGCTTCAAAGTTCTCTAGAGGGTGAAGTTCCAAAGGCTCATACCATTCAAGTGAAGAAGCTTGCATTTTATCCTCAAATGCATTATTCTGAGATTGAGAACCACCTGCTACGCTCACCAGCAAAGGAAAACATTCCCCCTCAGCATTTATCCTGTCAAGTCCCTAATGAGTTCCATACGTTTCTATTACACCACCTCAAATTCTACCAAATTCCACACTCTGCAGATCGAGGCAACTCAATCTTGCCTCTGAGAACAATCACATCATCCCAGCCATCAACTTCACAAAATGTTCTGGGACTCAGGTTTGAATCTCATCATGGATCAAGGTAGAATTTGAGATCATTAAAAATCTCAAATTAGGAGTCAGATGTGGACCATGAATCCATTGTTGATTGTTCTAAAAACCCACTTGGTTCACTAATATCCTGTAGGGAGGGAAACTGCCATTCCTACCCAGGCTAGCCTATGTATGTGACTCCAGACCCACAGCAGCGTGGTTGACTAATAAAAACTGAAAGAATTGTGGATGCCGTAAATCAGAAACAAAAACAGAAATTGTTGGAAAGCTCAGGTCTGAGGAAGAGTCACTGGACCCGAAATGTTAACTTTGATTTCTCTTCAGAGATACTACCAGAACTGCTGAGCTTTTCTAGCAATTTCTGTTTTGGTTTGTGGTTGACTCTTAACTGCCTTCTAGGCAATTAAGGATGGGCAATAAATGTTGGCCTAGCCAACGATGTCCTCATCCCACGAATGAATAAAAAAAATTGTTGCACCCCGCTAAAGGTAGGTACATCCTTCCTTTGTAAGGAGGCTAAAACTGTACTCTGCTCAGGCGTGGTCTCACCAAAACCCTTCAATGAAGCAAGACTCCAACCTCTTTATAATGTAACAAACTTGAAAAACTGAAGAGCTCACAGGCACTTCCTGATTTGAATACTTCTAGTCTTTTCTGCTTTTGTTTCAGATTTCCAATGTTCGCTGTATATTAAAAATATAACGTGCTTTCAAAAACGGTGCAAAGAACCTCATTAGATAGGCAGTATTTGCCGACACCAGGTGCCCTAATCAACTGGGCATGTGCAGGCTCAAGAGTCACACATGCAAGAGAGTGCGCGTACAAAAATCTGAGTATACTGCGCATGCTCCTGTGTCAGAAAATGCAGCCCATTCAGTAGGATACCTGGAGAAACAGATGGTCTCACCTCCTATCTGCATTCCAGGACTGTAGTCCATTCCATCTTGGGTAGGAGATGACTGTACAGTGCTAAGATTATATACAACACCAAGAATGTGCAACTCTCCTGTCTGATGAGGAAGCAGTTTTAATCTTGCCTAAAATCACAAAAGCACAAGTTATTTTCAAAAATATTCTTTATCTACAGGGTTATCATACATTGACAACGTTTTCAAAGACTGATGCAAAATATAAGCATATGGTGCCAAGCTGAAATAACATTTAAAAAATGCTAGATCTGTCAAGATAGTTTTTACTGGAGATCAGTGTTCTCTTGTCAGCAACAGGTTTACAACAAAAGTATTCGTGAAAATTATTTTAAAACAGGTGCTTTAAGGAGTAACTTGCTTTACTGATAATGTTGTATACGTTTACACAATTTGACAGCCAATGATGGTGGTGACATTCCTATCACGAGTCAGAAGGTTCCGAGTTCAAGCTCCACCTAGAAGCCAAGCCTAGGATGCTCTGCATTAAGGCATCATTGTCAAATAAGACATTAAAGCCGTGTCCACATTTGACTCGTCATCAGGGATGTGGCTATTAAGGGATCCAGGGCTGAACTAAATATCCAAGGATAGTCAGCCTATCGAAAGAGTTGGCACGTTTGCTGAAGGGTGACTTGTTAGCAGGAAATGAAATGAAATCATTAGCAAGGTAGAAAGAGTTACAGGGTGAAGAATCTGCATAGGCAGAGTTGAGAAACCATAAAAAAGGAGAAAAGACCCTAATGGGAATTATGCACAGATGTCCCAGCAGTACCCAGTATGTTAGGAAGAAATCAGGAAATAGTGCCTTTCTGGGATGCCTTTTCTATTACAATAATCATGAGGGACTTCAAGATTCCAGGTGGATTGGGGAAATGAGGTTGGCAGCTGATCTCATGAAACGGAATTCATGGAATGTTTATGAGATGGTATCGTTTTTTGGAGCAGCTGGTGATTGAGCCCACTAGGGAATAGGTAATTCAGAGCCTGGTGACGTGTAATGAGGCAGATTTGATAAGGGAGCTTAAATTGAAGGAATCCCTAGGGGGCAGTAATCATAACGAAAGAATTCACACTACAGTTTGAGGGAAACAAGCTGGAATCAGATGTAATGGTATTACAATTGAGTAAAGCTAACTACAAAGAAATGAGGGAGGAGTGGAAGGGGAGCCTATTAGGGGAGACAATGGAGCAGCAACAGCAGGGATTTCTAGGGTAATTTGAGAGGCACACCAGAAATTCACTCAAGGAAGAAGAAAAAAAACATAAGGGGAGGACAGGGCAACCATGCAAAATAAAAAGCATACAATGCAGCAAAGATTCATGTAAAGCCAGAAGATAATTGAAAAAGCAATAAGGGAAGAGAAGATGAAATGTGAGGGTGAGCTGCCCAGTAATATAAAAGATGATTGCAAGAGTTTTTAAGATATACAAGAGAGACAAGAGTAGACATTGAACTGTTGGAAAATGAGGCTGAAGCAGATGTAAAGGGTACAAAGAAGTGGTGGAGAAACTAAGTAGCAACTAACTTTACATCAGCTTTCAGTGGAAAAACACCAGCAGCGTACCAGAACTTAGAGAAATTTGGGGGCAGAGATGAGTCCAGTGGCCATCGCATACGAGAAGATGCTGGGAAAGATGAAAGGTCTGAAGGTGGATAAGTCACCCAGATCAGATGCATTACACCCCTGAAGTGCTGAAGAGAATAGCTGAGCAGATTGCAGAAGCATTGGTGGTGATCTTTCAGGAATCACTGGAGTCAGAAAGGGTCCCAGAGGACTGGAAAATTGTTAACGTAACACCCCTATTTAAGATGGGAGGGAGGCAGAAGTTAGGAAACTATACGTTGGTTGGCCTGGCCTCAGTGGTTGGTAAAATGCTAGAATCAATTATTAAAGGATGAGATTGTGGAGTACTTGTAAGTACTGCACATGGTAAAATAAGGCTGAGTCAGCACGGTTTCATCAAAGGGGAGGTCATACTTGATGAATGTCAGAATTCTGAGGATGGAACAAGCAAATTAGACAAAGGAGAGCCAGTGGATATGATCTATTTCGATTTCCAGGAAGACTTTGACAAGGTGTCGCACAGGAGGCTGCTAAATAAGGACAAGAGCCCATTGCATGAGGGGCAAGGTACTGGCATGCAAAGATGATTGGCTGACTGGCAGAAGACAGTGGCAATAAAGGGGTCCTTTTCAGGATGGCTTTGGAGACTACTGGAGTTCCACAAGGGTCAGTGTTGGAACCACAATTATTTGCATTATACGCTAACAATCTGGATGAAGGAACTGAGGGCATCGTTATAGAGTCAGTCACACGGCACAGAAACGGACCCTTCAGACCAACTCGCCCATGCTGACCATGTTTCCCAAACTAGTGTCATTTGCCTGTACGTGGCCCATAACCTTCTGAACCTTTCCTCACATACCTGCTCAAATGTGTCTTTTTGATGTTGTACTGTACTTGCCTCTACTACTTCTAACAGTTGATTCAATACACACAGTGAACAAAGTCCCAGCTTATCCAGAAGCTTAGTATAACTCAAACCCCGCCATTCCCAGCAACTCCTGATAAATATCTTCTGAACCCTTTCCAATTTAATAACATCCTTCCTATAGCAGACTAACCTCAACTGTACACAGTACTCCAAATCTGACCTCACCAACATTCCGTACAACCCAATATGACATCCTAACTCCTATACTCATTACTCTGACTGATGAAAGCAGGTAATTCCCAGAACCTTCTTTACCACCCTGTCCATCTGTGATGGCACTTTAAATAAAGTGTGCACCTGAACCCTTCAGTCTCTGTTCAACAACACTCCCAAGGGCCCTACCATTAGTTGTCCAAATCCTGCCCTGGTTGGTCTTATCAAAATGCAAAGCACCTCACATTTATCTAAATTAAACTCCATCTGCCACTCCTCAGCTATTCGATCCAGCTAATCAAAATCCCGCTGTATCCAACAGACCATCAATTTTGGTGTCATTTGCAAACTTATTAACCATGCTCCCTATATTCACATCCAAATCATTTATATATGAATGAAAACCTGCGGATAAGTTTTCAGATGACACAACAGTAGTTGGAAGAACAGGCAGAAGCAGGGAGACTGCAGAAGGACTTGATCAAGCTACAAGAGTGGGCAAAGTAATAGTAGATGGAATAGTGTGAGAAAGAATGAGGTTAAGTATTTTGGCAGCAAGAACAGAGGCATAGACTATTTTCTAAACAGGGAAAGGCTTTAGAAATCTGAAGCCCAAAAGGAACTTGAGTCCTAGTTCAGGATTCTCTTAAGGTTAACGTGCAGGTAGGATGACAAATGCAACGTGAGCATTCATTTCAAGATGGCCAGAATACAAAGCAGAGATGTACTGCTGGGGCTGTATAAGACTCTGGTCAGACCACATCTGGAACACTGAACAGTTGTGGGTCCTGTATCTGAAGATGTGGCGTGTGTTGGTGGTGGTGGTGGTGGTTTGTTTGTGGTGGGTGAGTGGGTGGGCAGCAGGCAGCAGAGGAGGTTTACGAGAATGATCCCAGGGATGAAGGGCTTCTCATTTGAGGAGTGGTTGAAGAATCTGGGTCTGTATTCAATGGAATTTAGAAGGATGGAGGGGGAATCTCATTGAAGATTTTGAGAATATTGACAGGACTGGATAGAGTGGACTTGGAGAAGATGTCTCCACTAGTAGTGGAGACTAGGACCCAAGGACACAGGGTCAGAGTAAAGGGATAATTTTAAGAGCCAATATGAAAAGGAAATTTTTTCAGTCAGAAGGTGATGAATCTGCAGAACTTATTGCCGCAGAGGGCTGTGGTGGCCAAGTCACTGACTGTATTTAAGTCGGAGATAGACAGGTTCTTGATTTGTAAAGGGATCAAGGGTTACAGGGAGAAGGCAGGAGAATGGGGCTGAGAAACATGTCAGCTATGATCAAACAACAAAGGAGACAATGGGCTGAATGACTTAATTCTGCTCCTATACATCTTACTGATTTGAGGATAACTAATGTAACCCCACTATTTAACAATGGAGATCACAAGAAAACAGGTAAGGTCAGCGTGGCATTGATAGTGGGGAAAATGCTGAAGTCCACTATAACAGATAGTGGCAGAGCAGTTGGAAAATAGGGATGGGGTAGGGTAGTCAGTGTGGACTTACAAAAAAGGAAAAGGAAATCATGCTCGATAAATCTACTGAAATTCTGCAAGGACATTAACTAGTAGTGTTGATAAGGGGAGCCAATGGATATAATCATTTGGACTTTGAGAAGGCTTTCAATAAGGTTCCACATAAGAGATTGTGTAAAATAAGAGCACATGGGATTGGAGACAACGTACCGACAGGGAGAGAGAAGTGGATGGCAGATAGGAAACAAACTATAGGAATAAATGTGTCTTTTTCTGTATGGCAGACAGTGACTACTGGGGTACCGCAGTGACCAGTGGTTGGATCACAGCTATTAACAATATATATTAATGATTTAAATGAAGGAACTAAAATGTAATATCTCCAAGTCTGCAGGTGACACAAAGCTGGATGGAATGGTGAACTGCAAGGAGGATGCAAAGACACTTCAGTGAGATTTGGAAAAGTAAGCAAGCTGGAAAATACATGGCAGGGTGAAATATAAATGAGGATAAATGTTGAGGTTATCCACTTTTGTAGCAAAAACACAATGCAGATTATCTGAATAGTAATAGATTGGAAAAGGAAGTGTTGCAGTGAGGCTTGGGTGTACTTATACACCAGTCACTGAAGGTAAGCATGGTGTAGTGAATGGGAAAACGGTATGTTGACCTTCATAGTGAGGATTAGGAGTGCAGCAGCAGGGATGTCTTCCTGTAATTGTACAGGATCTTGATCAGGCCACACCTGAAGTAATGTACGCAGTTTTGATATCTTTAACAGGAGGATAGATGTTCTGGCTATGGAGGGAGTGCAACAAGAGTTTACCAGGGGGATTTCTGGGAATGCAGGACAGACATATGAAGAGAGACCAGATCAGTTAAAACTGTATTCACTCAAGTTAAGAATGAGAGCACACTTGGGGCAAACAGGATCATAGGTTATGGGGAGAAAACAGGATTAGGCTATTGAGTTAGGCAATCAGCCATGATAGTGAAGAATAGTGGAGCAGGCTTGAAGGGCCAAATGGCTTCCTCCTGCTCCTATCTTCTATGTTTCTACGAGAGGTGATCACATAGAAAGGGTAAACACAGGAAGGTGGTTTCCAATGACTGGGGAAAATCGAGAACCGGGGGTCACGGTCTATAGGGTAGGCCATTTTGGTCTGAGATGAGGAGAAAGTTCCTCATCCATGGAATGGTGAACCTGTGGAATTCTCTGCCACAGAAAGCAGTGGAGGCCATAACACAATGTTTGAGGAGCAGGAGTTAGATTTAGTTTTTATGGCTAAAAGTGACCAAAGGGTATAGGGAGACGGCAGGAACAGGGTATTGAGTTAGATGACCAGTCATGATCGTACTGAACGGCAGAGCAGGCTTGAAGGACTGAATGATCTACTCCTGGATTCTGCACCCTGCACCCCTCACAACCCAGGAAGCCATTGTTCTGTAACAATTTGTCCTGCCAAACTTTTGATCTAATTCGCCCAGGATAGCTCTACACTCAAATGTAATGAATTTCTCTCACCTCTAACTATTTTAGTCTAAATTAGTACCCATTTTAGCTTGTACAGGTTGGAACAGCCCAAAACACCTACCCTGCTCCAAAACTGAGGCTCTCCTTCTGGATTACAAGTAAAAGTTGAGCTGAATATTTTGTTCCATCCAAGCATGCTCTGCTAAATTCAGCTTGAACTTTTAAAATCTCAATTTAAACCATGTTCTAAATAGGCAGGACACCACGGACAAAGTTATTTTGATTGCGTTCGAACTGTAAAGTAGCAGCCACTGAATGACAAAGTGCCAGTGAGCAGACTACACACGTTGAATGAACCACGATCGTTTGTTGTTACACCGAGCATGCTTTTTGTTCATCAGCACTAAGCGTATCGCTCACTTTACGAGTCAAAAAAATATGAGCAGCTCGGATTTAAATGAGCATTTGGAAGCCCACTTAACATCGCTTATGTGAAGGATAAGCGAAGTGCATGCCCTGCTTCAATTGTGTTGAAGGAGATGATCTCAGCCTCTGCAGTCAGGGGATACAACAACTGGCCTCCAAACCCTCAGGAGGCAGACAGGACCATATTTAAATCTGCGTTCCCATTGGTGGAAATGTTAATGTGGATTAGGATTAGCCTTCTTTGTGTTGCTCTTTATGGAATTATTAATATGCAAAAAAGGGGAGAAAGAGAGCCACCCAGAGAAGCTGCCAGGAAGCAAGTGGGACACATGTAGCCGTTCAACAAGTTAACATCTGCTGGGCAG